CGGGAGGATCACGTTTCAGAGGGAAGAGGGGTTTTTTATTTAGGATTTGTCTATACAAGCAGTCAGGGGCTTTTCACAAGCGCATTGGGTTAATCTGAGCAGAAGGACTCATTGTAGTTTTGCATCTTTTCAGCATTTCAGCTGGTTCTGCTGAAATTTACTCAGGGAATAAAGATGGGATGAAAATGGATTCCTTCACCATTGCTCTACCAGGACAGAGAGAAAAGGTTCAAGGCTAAATAAAAGTTTGGAATTCTTCGATTATGAGAATGGGGAGAGGAAGAGGCAAACATCTGCCAGTAGCAGATAACTGGTAGGAAATAACAAGAAAAAAAATAGGCTCTATGATATGTTTTCAGCATTGGGGCACCCACAACAAGGCTGCTCAATATTTGCTTACTTTTTGCTAGTTCGTTTGCAACTTCTCTCAAACTCAGAGCAGTAACATTTCTACATGAACCTGTACTCAATTCTCTGACAAAAAACGGAAGGGAGCTCATTGTACAGATAAATATTTTAATCTTCTTGTCAGTAATACCTAGAGTTACCAACAGCACCATGTGTTTTAGCAAATCTACATTCAAACTGTCATCTGCGGGGGAAATAAAGCTGATCTACAGCCTATTGCTGTAGCTTTGATAATGATCTTTATTGCCATGCTTCCAGTAAGCCTAGGGAGAACCTATGCATTATTAACTGCTTAAACAAAACTGTCTGAAATCACAGAGGCTTATGTTAGTAAAAAGCCTATCCATCTGCTGATTAAGAAGGTTTATATTTTTAGCAGGTCTGAGATATATTTGCAGAACTACTTTAACATGTTGAGTCACTGGTAGTGAAAGTGTCCTCAGTTTTACTTAAGTGTCCCCAAATTAAAAACGTTTATCCATTTCAAGCATACAGCATCACACTGTTTTCTCTGCCCTGCAGCCCGCTCCCTCACTCCCCTTTCTCAGGGCATGGCCCCATGCACAGAAGGACGAAGTGCAGCAAAAACTGGGCTGTGAATCAGGCTTATAGAGACCATTTAAGCTGCCTGTGAGCAGGCAGTCAAGCCACAGGCCTTGGGAGGGCACCAGCCCTCCAATGCTGCAGCAAAAATAGCCTCTCGCCACTGGGTCAGCGCACGTTTTCGTTCCTGGTCTGCAGCGACAAGCACAGCGTCATGCATTACCATTGCAGCTGAGAAGTGGAGATAAGAACCATCTCGCACAGCGGGTACGAGGTGCATCACTGCCAGAGGCTGCAACGCCCTTGGGGAGAATATTCTGGCCACGGTGAGAGATTTTTTTGCTTCAGGATCAGCTTCAGATGACTGGTTACCACTTTACCATGGGTAGCTGTTTTACCGTGGCTGGCAGGAACGTCCTCAGGAATCCCAGGCCCCTGAGACCAGTGGGAAGCTTTGGAGCAATGAAGACTTACCCTCAGTAAAGGAGGCTCAAGTTAGGGAGTGTTTAACAAAGTGGACGTATCCTTGGGCCCTGAAGAGGTGCACACACAGGTGCTGAGGAGGCTGGACAGTGTCACTGTGAGGCCACGCTCAGGCGTTCCTGAGGACTGGAAGAGAGCAAATGTCACTCCTATCTTCAAAAAGGAAGAACAGAGGAAGCACAGAGCACTCAACCTCACCTCAATGGTGGTAGAGTAACTCCTGGAAACCTTTTCCAAACACATAAATGATAAAAAGGTGATTGGAAGTACTCAACATAGGCTTACAATGTGGGAATCAGGCCTGATCAACACAACTTGCTTCCAAGCAGGATGGTCCAGGATGTACAGTGCAAGAATTTGCTGGACCTCTGTGCTGATTCTGATGTAGCTTAAGAAGGTGCTATTGCCACAAGGAACATAAGACAAATATTGCCACTGTCCTTTGCTGAGACCAACCTACTGCTGCTGGGTCTCATTAACCTGTGTACGCACTACCTCGGTTCCCACAAGATGCCTTTCAACTCCTGGCTGAGTAATTAGAAAAAAATAACATTTGAATGCACATCTAGGCTCCCAAGAGAGAGAGTTGTCTGTGTGCTGGAATCTGTAACAGCATTAAAAGCCCTTTCTCATTTTGAGATTGCACACACCAGGCAGCAAAGACTTAGTAAAATTCCTATGCCAAGAGCAGCTTTTTAAGCAATATCCAGGGGACCTGTATTGCAGCTTTTTAGCAAATGAGTAAATGTGTTTATCTGGCTTACCCAAAGCTTTTTTCTTCCAGTCACTGTTGTTGGAAAGCAGCCCCTCCTTCCCACCTTCCCTCTTCCTTATTTTGACAGCTTTCTGAAAGCATCAAATGCAGTCAGGCACGTTAAACTCTGAAAATTTTATCACACCAAATACAAAGCTCTGCAAAAACTTCAGATTAGGCAGAATGTAATTAGAATAATTAAAACTGGAAAAAGGATCTGAAGTATTAACAAAAAAAAAAAAGTATTAAAAAGGATTGTTGGCAGAAGGGAGACAGCTTACCATTACTGGCAATAAAGAAAGTGCTGGACAACATAGGGAATCTCTTTATCTTTCGAAGCAAATACTGCTTCAGGCTACAGACAGGTAAGCCTGAGCTGGTGACAGCACAGCCAAGGTATAAGAGCTTGAGCACCAAGCAATAGGCCAGCATACAGGTTAAGAGAAAGCTGCTCAACTACTGAATGGAATTAAGCTTTTAATGCCTATTAAAGCAACTGAATTCAGGGCGCTACCAGTCACTAATTTATTTTCCAAGAATCTTCTAAAGCTGCAGCAGTCTAGATTACACACAGGACCGGGAAAGGAGGGAAGTCTCTGACTCCGCTCCCGCACGGGTTATCTCCAAGCCTGGTGGATCGCTGACACCCTTAGCAGGACAGATGGGGAGAAGAGGCTCCTGCCCTCCAGCTGCCTGTGTGTCCTGACAGAGACACAGAAATTCTGCAGCCGGACATGGAAAGTTGCAGTGTCCGTCAGCAGCAGGGGTGCTGCCTCTGTCTGTCCTTTCAGTCCTGTGGGTCTGTCTGTCCTGCTGGCAGCTGCAGGCACCATCTGCTGGGCGACTGCATGAAAAAAAAAAATCTCAAAAAGATCCAGGGCTATAAAGGAGCTCAACATGATGCATTCATTGACAGGGCAGCTGGAATAGGCAGTGTTAAGCATCAATATGTGGAATCTTAAGATAAGAGGTGCAGTGTTTGCATGTCTGTCTCTTTCAAGAATTGTCATTATTTCTAGAATATGCCAGTAAAAAGAAAAAAAGGATAATCCAGCCTTATAAAGCATTTTAAAGCTTGAAGAGCCACTTCTAGGCATCACAGCCCTAGCACAGAAGTCACAAAAGTGACCAATGTAATTAGGGATCTAAAAGAGCATAGGATACTGTTTGGTGGTTAGGAAGCAGTCATAAAAGCTGACCTGGTCCTCCTAAAACTAATTTGAGTTTAGCCTCAGTAAACCTAGAGTTATGATTAAAACCATCTGTGACGTTAGTGCCCTATGATCACCACTTCTCTGAAACAGTAATAACTCAGTCTTCCTGCTCTATGTTATTCACCCAGAGCTGCAATGACTTGGAGAAGCAGCAGGAGCAGGAAGGTCTGCGCTAGGTAGGAAGCGCGACCACCACCAAGGCAGCTCTGAGAGCCTGAGCTTTTCACGTGCTGGGAGCTGCTTCGTTGGTACCTGGAAAACAGAGGGCAGACTCTGGCTAAGGCAGGTTCCCTTCTGGTCCTTCCAAAGAACTGGGAATGAGAATGGGATTCCAGGCTCCTGCAGTAGCACCTGCTTGTACATATTTAGGAATGATCCTACAGGGAGCCGAGGTGAAGACTCTATGGTATGGACCACCAGGCCATGGCAAGCTGAAAACAACCTTCAGCTACTTTTTCTGTGGGGCATCTGGACAGATCCTTTCCCTAAGCTCCCCCTACAACTGTGTTCAGGCCTCTCCAACACAAAATACCTGCTTTCCATAGACAGGATGTGTTTTTAGTGTGAAACATTCAATTCCACGGCTCGTGTCAGAGAACAGGAGATGCGAAAGCTAAAAGGCAAGGGATTAACTACTAAGGACAGCACGACGTAGCCTATTTTACATTCACATCTTAGAATTAAGAATGGGAAAAGTCCTACAGAACCAACCATGCACAACCATGCAAAAAGTAAATAAAGTAAAGCAGACATTCTAGCCAAGCGGCAGGTAGCTTTATTGGGTTCTGACAATACTGCATCATAACCAGAACAAATTAAAGTGGCTTTTTGCTCCTTAGCATTAGTCATTTCTCAAAAGAAAATGGATTATGTTTAATATTAAAAGAAAACCAAGGAACGGGGTGAGAATAAAGTCAAACAAGGTGCAGAGCTAGTGTCCCTATGTATTCCCTTCATGTACTAGAGAAATTGAGTTCTTGGAAGTCCTCTTGAAATTTCCTAGATCAGGTAGTGAGCCCCAGGACAAATCATATGATGAATTACATATACTGTGGGTTGCTATGGATCATGCTAAACCTGTAAATTGCATTTGAGATACCCATCCCACTTATTTACTGGAACAGAAAGTGACAAAGGAATTTCACACAAAGGATGAGATCAGGTCAATCAAACACATTTCCCCACTGGCTGCCTCACTACAGTTTAGTAAACACATTTAAACATAATTAATTTTAATTAATTTTTTTTCTTAGTTCCACCAAAAAGAAGGTGAAAATCCTATGTGGTATTTGCATTACCTCTCAGTGCACTAAAACATTATTCTGGCCTCACCCGCTTAGTTCCATATATGTTGCATTACATGCACATAAGATTAAAACCACAGTCAACTAAGCAGCTACGAGAGTTGAGATGCTATTTGATACTGCGTGTAGATACATGCAACTGTTAGCTTGTGCCCTGAGAATTAAGTAAACACTGACTAATTCTTTTAATGCAAGTTTTTCAGCATTAATTGCTATATGATTCTTCAGTAAATAAAGAATTAAAAGAGTAAGAATTCTCTCCTTCTTCCATGAGGAAGTACTTAAGGCAGTGTGTAATAGTGATAGCTATGTATTTGCAGCATTACTGCTGTGGTACTTTGGCTCAGAAATCAGGTGCACCACCTCTAACTCCTGACCAACTCTATTTCAGAGTTATGGCTTCTATTTCTGAATGGCACATTGCACCACCTAAAGAACATGAAGAAGGCAAAAGGGTATTAGATAAGTAATCATTCCTGGAACTTCAAGTGATCATTCTTTTATTCCTCGGAGGCATACTCGTGCTCGCTTCCCTCTCATCTCTAATATCCAAAGACTTCCTCATCTTCATAGACCTGGTGCAATCCAATTAAGAAACTTCATAGCAACTTCGAAACCAAGGAAACAGGCCTGGAAAAGAGAGAACACACAAAACAAGCACGGACAGTGAAGATCTATTCCAAACAACATTTTTGAAATGCAGCAGTATGTTGATGTGGAAGGAGAAAGCAAATTAAAAAAATAAATAATAATAAAAAAAAGGATTGGAGCAGAGGTAAGATTACTGCTATATTCTTCCATACAAAGACAGAACTTCTAATCCCTTAGGTTCATAATTTACTGAAAGGAAAGCTAGTCCAAACATCTACACACTTCTGTCTTCTACTAGTGGATACGTAATCAGACATGAAATACTATCAGAGTGAGTCAACAGCTTCTTCCATATGAAGCCAGACTTCCATGTGAAGCTCAGAATGGAGGTTTCATTGATGCTGTTCCTTGATTAAGATACATTTCAGAACCTGAATACCAACAACCAAAAGGCATTGGCAGTGCAGCGATTCTCACTGAAATGGTACAGGAGCAAGCAGCAAGTCCTCTCCTCTGTAGCTGCAAACAGTCACTCTAAGTGGCCAGGTCCCTGAAACCCATCTGGAAACGTAATTTACTACTTACCGCGTTAGCGGGAAATGCCCTGATCATTACAGCTGTGAAACCCTTATAGAGAGATGCAACACCTTCCTCTCGGATAAGTTCTCTCAACACATCTCTGAAGCCATTTGGGTATTTTCCAGCAGGAGCTGTGAGGGATCAAAACACATTAGATCAGTATGTGTGACTGTCACACATCCTAGGAAGGGACGTGTGTAACAGCCCAAGATTTTCAACATGTTCAAACTGGCACACCAGAATCCAGGCATCACTGAAGCTATATAGTGAAAATATCTACCTGGGATAATTATCTATTTCAGTCAAAAGCCAACAAAAAGCCACTTTACTGAAGTTCCCATAAACGGAGCAGAGAAGTCACCGCAGAGAAGTTACATAACCGTGTCATCTCCTGGAGAGGAAGGGAGAGGGGACAACTTGTTCCAGGGCTGGATATCTGAGCTGTTTCTTTCGTGGCTGATCACAGCTCTCCCAAGAGCTGCAATGAGGAGATAGGAAGGCCAAGCATAATAATTGGTAAAGCTGGTTTACAAAAGAGCAGAAAATGATCCTGTCACATGCCCCAGCCAAGAGCAGCAAGAAACTTCGAGGGAAAGCACAGGCTGATGCTGTACAGATTTGCTGAAGTGTTTCTTTTTAAAAAATATTTTATTTGATGACCAAATTCTTCCATCTCCTGACCCTCCTCTGGAAAGAACAGCCTCTGCCAGCCCTCTGAAAGTACTCCACAAATTAACCAGTTAAATAAAACTGCCATTAAGTCGCATCTTCTCTAAAGTACCGCTGTAGCTTGGCTTAGTGGAACAAAAACGCAAGGCCAATGTATTTCCCACTGAACCCTAGCTATGATGTCAAACTACCAGAGCATTCATTATACAGGGAAAAGGAATTTCTTCCTGCACTAGATATGTATATATGTATTATGAATCATAACTATGTAAAAAAGCCACACATAAAAACAAACAATCATAATGTCTAGTGGAGAGCAGAGTCCTCAAGCGGGGATTACTGTGGAGCCTTAACAAAACTAGTAATTGAGTAAGACTGTCAGGAAACTGAGGAAAAACCTGACAAATCTTGCTGAAGCTCAAGGCCTGGGACTCGCTACAGCCACAGATATTCAAGAGCAGACGTGTTGGTCAGAAGGCAACACTGAGCAGGCCCACACAGCTGCTCTTAACTTCACACAGCACACATGGGAATTTACCATGCCTGGAGTGAAATGGCAAAGTGATTAAGTTACATTTGTAGTAAAACAGGCAAGATCCCTGGAGAAGCGCAGCCAACTTGCCAAAGAATAACTAGGAAACCAACTGAAAAGCTAGAAACACGCTTGGATTTTTCATGTGCTTGTTTCAAGTGGCGCTCAAGCTGCGCTGCCTCTCAGCCAGGAAGATGCCTGGGGGCAGCTCCCATGGGTGCTCCGGCGTGCCCGGGAGCGCCGCGTGCCGCCCGGCTCACCTGTCTGGAAGCGGGATTTCAGCACGTCGGGGGGAATGGCAACGGCCCAGTTGAAGATCCCAGCCAGGCCGCCGGCAAAGAGGATCCTAGGCACGCTGAGGTCACTCACACTGCGATGGGTTGGAGCGGGAGGGATGAGATGAGAAGTGGAGGGAAAAAAAAGAAAAAGTAAAAGCTTTTATGTGTTGACTCAAATGACAACCAAAGAGGCAGGGTGGCGGACAGAGAGAACGCAACAAAATTCTGCACAAGCAGAGCGGTATCTGAGCAACAATTCCAAGATGAGGGACCTCTGGGCAAAGTGTCTACTCCTCCCTAAAGGTTCAAACTCTTTCACTCAGCAGCAACACACAAGGATGCTGTGGAAATAAATAAAAAACAAAACAAAAAAGCAAAACAAAAAAAGAAAACAGCTCTTTGCACACACAGGGGTGAAAGAGCAGAGAGACCTACTCCAAGCACTTCTTACTTGTGCCAACCAGATCCAAGATTAGAATTTGTGAGAAACTCAAAATACTATTTTAATTGTCAGCTAACCCCGGACCAATAGAACTCAACTCTCAGGACAAACCAGTGACAGCAATTTTCTCATTTTGGGGGGTTATTTTCATGCTACTGTTCAAAACTGCTTCTTGACTGGGGAGATTAATCAGCAGTGTCTGAGGAAGCCTAGAGAAGGTAATTCCCCTACCCTCTTGCCCTGGGGGGTCAGAATGTTCTTCAGCCATTCGTACGTCATGAAGTACATTCCACTGGCTGGAACGTCTAGTGGGCAAACAACACAGGCCGTGAGGAGTGGGAAAGCCTGGAGCGAAGCGGCCCTGCTCCAGCTCAGCACTAAACACATCCACATTTCTTTTTGGAGCCTTCCCTACAATGTGCTGCTGCTGCTCTGCACAGAGGGGGCTGACCTTTCCTGTGGAGAGCAGGTGTAAAAGGCAAAAACTGGGAAAATACCTATTTTTGAGCACTTCTATTAGCAGCCCTCCTGAGCAGGCTGTAGGGCTGGCTGCCAGCCATTAAGCTAACTATGAGGCAGGGCTGAGCTTCCTTACAGAGCGTGTGGCAGATCAGAGCAGTTTGGGAGGTGTAGGTTTTTCATGTTGTTTGTTCTGATAAAGATGTTTTGGGGTTGTCATTGCTTTAACATACTCACACAGTCCATTCTTATCTCATGCCCGAACTGAACAACCAGCCTCTGGCTAGAAACACTGTCAGTGTGAGTTAAATTGCTAGCTGAAAAGCAGAGGATAGAACAAATTCATAAACTGAAATCTCAAAATACAGAAATTTCAGCTTCTACTCTGAAAACACTGCCCCAATACAAGGAAAAAAACTAACATTGTTCAGAGCAGAAAGAACCAACACATGTAAATCTTTAGTGTCTGGCACAATTACTTGGTTGTTGTTGTAAGAGGGGGGACATGCCATCCCACTCCCAAATAAGCCAAACTCAAGTGGGTAGAAAGCATCACTGCTGCTGTTGTGCCTTTTAAAGCAATCCTCATTATACAGCAATAGCCACAGCCCTTTTCCCAGAGGGAAACAAGAGCCCAGTTCTGTAGCCTGAAGTCTCTGATTCCTCTTGCATACTTGGATTTTAATTAGTTCCTATATCCCTCTGAATCCTTGTCATCTAATGCCTTCCCCACTCCCTAAGAATGTCATATTTATTTTTCAGTTCCTTTGAGGCATTGGAGTAGCTCTGCAGACTGCAAAATAAAAGGGAAAAAAACGGCTGACAAAGCATTTCTAATAGGCTAAACAGCCAGCAAGGTTTACAACACCACGTCAGTCTTGTTTTAAAGTTCCCCATGCAGAAGAAGCATCAGAACATTTCCACCAGTTACCTCTCATGAGGGTGAGCACTGTCCCCTTGTACACGCCTCGCACGCCAGCCTCACGGTACAGCTGTTTCGCACAGTCCAGGGGGCCACTGTATTTAGTTTCACCTGAAGCTGCCTGGATCTGAGGATTAAAGTGACCATTTCTGGCTGGTGAACAATCATTCCCCTAATCATTAGAAAGCCACGTGCACCTTGCCAGAGGAAAGAGCACGTATTTGTTCCACAGGCACCCCTGCAGATGAAACCTTTGCAGCATTTGCTCAGACAGTTCTCTGCCACTCAAGCTGAGGATACATTTTCTGGTCCACAGGGGCTAGATTCTCCCTTTATTTTTCCTAGTGTAAGTTTGAAACAACTGAAGTCACTTAGGTAGTTTTACACATACGCTGTCAAACCCGGCCTTCAAATAATTTGGTAAAAATTCAAACAACTTTCATAATGTCATGTCTGACAGAGCTAATGTGTAAACACCCATTTCCATACTAACCCGCTGCAAGCTGGTGTGATACAACCAAACCTTCCCACCTCTGCCAAAGACAATATTTTCATTTGTTCGTGTTTATGTTTCATAACAGTGTCTTAAAAACCCTGAAGGTAGTGTAGCGTAAACACTAAAAACACTATTCCATTTATTTTGAGATACACCCCTCAGTTAGGTATTGGGAACATGGGAAAATGGAGGAAAAAATCTTTACCACAGAGAGAGTCCCATGACCTAGTGAGTCTGGATGTCTTTAGAGTAAATTTCATTCTGAAAACCTGGATTTTTCCATATTTTAAAATGGCCTGAGGCATCTGCTGATGCCTCATATAATGTCACATAGCATAATGCTTGTGCTCTGTAAAGAGACTAGAGCAGAGAGGGCTGTATGTAGTTATACTGTCATGGTGAGTTTGTTTAATGCTTCTTCATGACACAGTTGCATTAAATGACAGTTGTCTCAGTCCTGTCAAAAAACAGAGCAGAGTAAACTCACTAACCAATGAAGTGCCTGGTATGGGAAGACAAGATCTCTAAAATTAAATCCCCACAGCACCAGCCAATGTCTTACCTGTAAAAGGCACTTGATCCTCTCTCCTGGAGCCATGATGGCTGTTGTAAACACTCCCGACAACATGCCAGCAGCAAAGAGCTGTGGATATCTGTGAGGAAACGCAAGAGACCCTACTGCAACACAGTACACAGGCAGTTCAGGGCAGAAAGATCATCAAATTGTCAGACTGTGCTGCTACACACAAGGCTGGCAGGGAAATTAGGCATGCATCCGCTGCCTGTGATAGTTCAAAAGTGCCTAATTTAATGCACAATTAGAGCTAAACATTTAAGAATTTTAGGATTCAAAGTCCTGTTCCCACAGCAACCGTAACTCAGCTCTTCACATTTATTCTATTTGTTAATATTCCTTCTACTTGCATTATTTGCTACTGCATTCCCTGTGGATTTTTATTTTGAACATCTCTTCCTCCTCCAGTCTCCCCCTCTCTTCTCAGTGACCGCAGCTTCACGCTTAGTCCTGCTTGTGCCACCAAGAGCCACATTCCTGTAAACCCTGTTCGAGTCTGTCACCGGTATTCCCTTACAAGTGAGGACAGACTTGTCACACTCAGTGTCTCTCCTGGAGTTCCCCACTTGGGTCCTGGTCTCTTCTAATGACCCCCGTCAGGCCCTGTGACTCTGTCCATGTGTCTAGTCTCCGTGTTGACCTTCTATTTACTCTTAGCGTTTTTTCCTGATAACACAAAGGCTGCATCTCTCCAAACTTAGTCTTTCTTTTTCTTTAAGGCCTCCCACATTGCCAAGTCTGTTCTCCCAGCCTGCAAAACCTCTACAGCAGAAATCTCTTAAGCAGGCTGACTATTTTTTGTGTGTGCTTATATCCAATCTACTGCTAACCTATCTAGTAAAAAAAAATATATAGTTTCTCAATTAACTAAATTCCACAACTTCCACTTCTCTCCATGTGCCTAAGAAATGTAGTTCAGGTTTTCCTACTCTCATACATGTTTTTACTCTTAAATTTTCCTTACATTTCCTTCCTTTCCATCTTCTACAAATAGGATAAGGTGCAACTTACTCTTTCCTGTTTGGGACACGATGACAGCTCTACCATTTATGTGCTGCTCTTTGTACTTCTCTCCCACTGCTCTGCTTGGGAGGGCTCTCCATAAACACAACACCGTGATGCCCCCCTCAGTGTTGTCCTTAAAGCTCCACTTTGCTCAGATGTGTGCAGAACACAAAGCCTTGCTGCAATTAGGATGCTGGCAACGAGCCCACATCCCATTTGCTTCCTTGTATTCTCCAGTCCCCTCCGGTCTAACCCTTCAGCCTCGTGCACACGAAGAGTCAGTTATGCTGGTAAAGCAGAGGAGAGTAAAAAGAGCTGGAGCGCCTGGGAGTCCTTCTGCAAAGAAAGGGAGTGCTCCAGGGAGGTGGGTGGGGGGCTCTCTTATGCATAAGCTAACCTGAAGAGAAACACTAATTTCAATTAGCTTCTCACAGGAAAACTAGCCATCCTTTGGGCTGAAAGACACTGAGAAAAGCTTCATCCCACACAATCATCTCTTTTCCAGGTCAGAGGTGCCACAGAGCTGGGCTGCTCATAAACACTGCTTTTCAGACATTAACTGTGAAATATTTCTATGGCTGTTATTATATTTTAATATACAGAAACCATAAGAATAACAGATTGAAAGGAAAGCAGGAACTGTGAGTGAATTTTGTCAAGACTCCTCAACCATAGATTTAATTCTTCCATAGTTTCTGCTAATCGTGAAACAGTTCTCGAGCAATCATTATATAACTCATACTGTATTCATCTAAAATGGAATTTTTTAATGGCTCCTTCCTGCGTAGAAAGGGAATTGCATAGCACTTGCCCACATGCTGTCTGTTTTTAGCCTGTGCTATCAGTCCTACGCTTCCAGGAGCATTAAAACACACCCATGTTTTATTTTGTAGAGCTATATTTATAGCCTAGCAGAAGAGACAAATTTACACCACAACTCAATGTGCGACAACACAGCACGCTGTAGTCTCAGGGTGCCTTTCCCAAGTGTCTGAATTACACAGAAACTCACGTCAAAATGTCGTCAGGTTTTCGCTGCTGGAGTTTTTTTCCCAAGCCAAAACCAAAGAAGCACACGGCAAACATGGGTGTCACTCCAACAATAGGAGCTGCCATTCCTTTATACAAGCCTCGGACTCCCTGCAAGAAATGTTATCACAAGAATTACTTGGGTTTGCATAACGCTTTGCACACATCTCAACTTACCGAGAAGTAAAAGTTTAAAACATAGGATAATCCCAGAGTCAGAGCGAGTCGGCCCAATTAATTAGGGGAATGATGGGGTCTATTATTCACTTGCAATGATGCTTACACCCCTGATATAAGGAAGTTAAGTTAAAAGCCACCTGAACAATAGTCCTGTTAGATTACGTCCAAAGTCTTCTCTCAAATACATACAAAATGTACACATGCTTTACAAAGAAGTCATAAAATCCACCATTGCTGTAAAATCCCAACATTAAGCCTGACAATGCTGGATCGGATTCATTCTTTAGATAAGGGCAACGCCAGGGAGACCAATTTCAACTCCTCTACTTCCCAAACACACTCAGTTTGGGATGACTTCAGGAGCAGATTATTTCTGCTTTCCTTCCCTAAGCCAAAACTCTTTCACAACACAACTTTACAACCCTGATGTTGCCCTTCAGATTAAAGAAAAAAAAAAAAGACATCATCAGACTGGATCAGACAAACTCTGATACAGACCCCAGCAGTAGCATTTATTTATCTTGCCTTTCAACTGAGGATGTTCATTTAATTAAAAGGAGAGTTATGAATTATCCTCCTAGATAAAGGCTGGATGCACAAATTAAATATTTTCTGCCCCTTCTCCACCCTCCCAAATCAGCATGTCCCAATATACGCCTGAAAGCTCAAAGCGCCACTGACTGGGTAACAAAATCCTATCTGTTTGACAAAGATCAGACCGCCAGCTCAATCTTCCCACGAGCAGTAGGAAGTAAAAGGCCGTAGCAGAGAGGTTTAAGGTTTTTCCTTATAGAAACAGATGAGTATTGAGTAGGAGAGGCGAGGCAGCGCTACGTTTGAACTGCACATCAGAAGACTATTATTACAGTTCCCTTCTGACGTCTGTGCTTCAGGAGGGGTGTTGAACAACAGCACGGGATTCAGAAGGAGCGATTAAAGCTTTCCAGAGCTTTGTGGGAGACCAGGGAAACGAGATTTACTCTGGTTAGGTAATAACCTATGAGTCCTCTCACAAGAATGGATTGCTGATCTGAGACAGTTCTTTCACTCAGGAAAAAGTGACTCAACTGGATCCACTGGTAAGGAACTAAACTTCGTATTAGTAAATAAACGGTTGGGCTTCAACCCATTGTTTCCAAATGTTAAACAGCCACTGGAAAAACTTACCAAGCAGCAAGGTGGATTCTATGTCACTTAAAGTCTTTAAAGCAAGGCCGCATGCCTTTCTAAAAACAAAAATAGACTATAGTTCATTCACGTGATCTGGACTGATTCAGGAGTGACAGAGTGGACGCCAATGTCCACCTTGTGAAGAAGATCAAACAAAGTTTCTGTAATGCTCCCTCTGACCCTTAAGAAAATAATTTTAAAAAGGAAAGAAAATAAAAGAGGAAGAAAACACTAGGAATTGAAACCTCCACTTACTCATCCACCTTCTCACAGATGGTATAATAATATATTACAGAAGAAATTAAAAGTACTGCTTTTATTAAGAAAAGTCATTGCCTATTTTAGGGCTTCCAGAGAGGGCTTCAAATGCCAAAGACAATGAGATCCCTCCACCTACAACAACAAAGCTGGCAAACAACTGCCAATGTCAACCCCAGCCTTTGGCTTCAGATATTAATATCACAATATTTTGAACCATGAGTGTTTCACAGAGCAAAAAAGAGCCACGTTTGGAAGAAGGAGATGGTAAGTACTGCTCAAAACAGATCTCCCTTTGAGTTTTGTAACCCGAGAGGAAATTTTGATTGGAATCATTTCAACTGATAACCCAAGAACGCTGCGGTGCCCGAGGGGCCTCCTGCGCGTGGCGGTGACGCGGGACGGCTGCCAGCGCCGCGCGCTGCACGGTACCTCTCTGAGCAGCGTCTTTCTGAAGCAGTCCAAGGTCCCGGAAGAGAGCGGCGCCTGCCCGGGCGGCGGCTTGGGCTGCGTCTGCAGCCGGACCTGGCGGAGGAGAGCGGGGGAAGCACCGATTTGTTAAACACCCCGGACTGAGTTCGGAACCGGGCACCGCGGCTGCGTGAGCGGGATTCATGCAGGCAAAGGCGCTTTGGCCGTTGGCAGGAGAGACGAGACTTGCGCTTCAGTGCACTTAATGGTTTGTAAAGGCGGGGACGACGGCAGTGCTGCGTCTGCAGCCGGACCTGGCGGAGGAGAGCGGGGGAAGCACCGATTTGTTAAACACCCCGGACTGAGTTCGGAACCGGGCACCGCGGCTGCGTGAGCGGGATTCATGCAGGCAAAGGCGCTTTGGCCGTTGGCAGGAGAGACGAGACTTGCGCTTCAGTGCACTTAATGGTTTGTAAAGGCGGGGACGACGGCAGTGCCGTCGCTTGGGGGATTTATCGCTATTGACTTGGTACCGTTCCCGTCACCGCCGCCCCGAGCCCGGGTCTCACGGCCGGGGGGAGCCGCGCGCCCGCAGGGGGCGCCCGTCCGCCCTCCCGGGGCACGCCGGGAAGTGTAGTCCACCTCCCCCCCGCCGCGAGGCACG